CCTCTTTTTCTGTAAATTTAGGGATTACTTTTGCAAATTTAATTGCATCGCAACCCTGACCGGCTGGAGCCGTGAGTCTATTTTCCATTGCTCCCAAATTGGCTGTTATTTCCATTTCTTTTAATTTGATTTGTAGCTCTTTCTGTACTTCCAACTCCAGCTGTTTAAGCTCACGTTCTTTTTCTTCTCTCTCTCTCTGAGCTTCAAGCTCCAGCTTTCTAAGCTCTCGTTCTTTATCTAGCTCCAACTGTTTGAGCTCTCGTTCTTTATCTAGTTCCATTTGTTTGAGCTTTAGTTGTAGCTCCATACTTGGATCAGTCGGTTGTGTGACTGAGGCAAGTTCATCTTCAGATAACATGTCTTCATCCACAAAGTGAACGATGATCATGTCTCGTATGGTCTTTTTTACGGCCGAATGAGCTACATTTATTTCTAGAGCTTTAGCAATGGAAAATAGCTCCTTCCTAGAACATTTGTCTAATGCCTCTACTGATGGGTTTTCAATATCAAAATCCATTTTGACACAGGCAAAATATAACAATGATTTTTATAAAAATTTAAGCTTAGTGCACACACTAATGAAAAAATTGTAACCAGCTCTGTTGTTGGTGTCGTAAAATGGTATCGTGTACTCAAAATTAATCTGAGTATATAAAAGTAAACAGTGGGTCAAAATCCACAGAAAAACACTCAATTTACTATTGGTGTAATAAAAATTATGGATTAAAATTATCCTCGGAAAAACCCACAATTTGTTAAAATTGGAGTCTAATATGAGAAATAATAATAGTAGTATGAATTTAGTATTATCGCGGACGAGCAGCCCAATTTGTTAGAATTGGGTCTTGAGAAAAATAATAATATAGAGTCCGCTATATCCGGGACGAGCAACCCAATTTGTTAAAATTGTGTTCTAATGAGAATAAAATATGGATTCGGTTATCACGGACGATGCCCCCAATTTGTTACGCACTGACTTGTATTGGGAGAAATTAATCTCCTATTTTAATTTTAATTTGGCTCGATGTAAACAGTGCCTAACAAAGGACGATACCATAGAATCAACAATTATTAAAGATACGACCCAAAACAGTTTCTAGTTACAATTAATTAAGATTTATTATGTCTAAAGATAATTACAAAATAAAATAAAAT